CAACTTCTGGAAATTAAATTGTTTCTCCATTGTTAGTGGGATGAGGCATAAAAGGCTTACTCTGGCTTTGAATGTTTTATATTGACTTGTTGAAACAACTACAGCTATATAAATGAGAACTCATGCTTCAGAAATACTGACAAATTGTCCTTTCTGTCCTTTTGGGTCTATCCAGGTACTACTGTTGATGAGAAACCTGTCTATCAATTTAGCAAGCCCAGATTTTGAGGATCATGTAAGTATCCAGTTCACTGATTTGTTGGGTGGGTGCTGTGACGGGGTTTTTCTTGAGACAAGTACTCCGCTTGTTAAGATAATTTGCTTTAAAGAATTAGTAGTTATCTTATTTCCTGCTTGAGCCCCACTCCTCTCTCTCTCTCTCTCTCTCTCTCTCACACACACACAAAAAAATTGATGTTCCTCATCTTTTTTAAACTATCCATCTTCCATCTTGCTCCTACCAACTGGAGTTTTCACCTCCATGGGCACTTAGATCAGATGCTTTTGATCTGTCCTTACATGTTTACTCTCTTTGATCTTTGATTTTATTCCTGTATCTATAGATTCAATTGAATGACTGGATTGGGCCTTAAAGAAGTTCTGTCTTCCTCATATGGGGTAGGGTTTTTGTTTTCTTTGCCTTTAATTGTTTTTTGAGCACCATTGCTGTGATTTACAACCAAATGTTTTTATAGGACTTTCCCATGGCAGCCATTTGGAGATTTGGGTATTCTTTTAGGTGTTTTTTTGTTTTCCTTCTCTCACATTGAGTGGATTTTATGGATGTTTAAACCAGAGTACCCCTTCATAATGACGGGATAGTATTTGTGAGTACTAAAAACCTAATGGTTGATCTGCGGAATTTAGTAATTGCTGGTCCTGAAATGCATTTTTAGGGGGGGGAAAAAAACTGTGTTGGTCATCCACTCTTTTTCATTGTGTGTTATAATTCTTGCAGAGAAGGTTGCTGTCTTCTTATGAGGTAGAACCAGGGGCCATCTAGCTATCTCAATGCAGAAGGACCCGTATGCAACAAGCAGTCGAATAGTGTCAAAATTCAATTTGAGGTGGTGAAGTCAGGAAATGTCATCCTTTTTTCTGCTATGATATGCAGTGGCAACGTTGTCCATGAATAGCGCTGGATGAGCTAAAAGTATGCCGGGAAAGGGCAACAAGCTGAGAGGTTTCTGCTTCAGTCGATTATGATACCGTTCTATGCGTAATAGCTGCTGCTACTCAGCCAAGCAAGGCCTTTATTCTCTATTCATTTTCGTGCCATGCTGTATATAATAAAAATATAACACTACATAAGCACAATAATGTTGCGAGAATGTATAGCTTACATAGTTTTGTGTCGGTCTGTACAGTTCCAGAGCTCTACATTTTTTTTCCCCTGGACCAGCACAGTACCGATTCTGTCTGAGTTTTGACCAAACTTCAAAATACCTGTATGCGAGACAAGTTCTGTAGTAAACTTAAAATAATGTTCTGAGTGCAGATTTTTGGGCGCTGCATGTGATGGTAGTTGAAACTCCAGGTTCATATGGGAAGTTCATACTCATTTATTTTCTGTGGTAGTTTTGAGTGGCAGAAAAAGCATGTGAGCATGTGGTCCCTCTGTAATTGGATTATTACTGGACCAGCTATTCAATTTTACTGTGGAGCATGCAATATTGCACTTTAACAAGACGAGCTGGGTTTGCTCCTGTGCGATCATGTGTAGTAAGAATGTGGGCCTATTCTGGAAATTTGAATCTTCCCTTTAAAGAGAGAATTCTGTGAAAAATTAGTGACTCACTGGGTGATGGGGCGGACGAAGTTTCATATAAGCTGTAACCATGCTCGACTTATGAGTGGTGTGGGTTCTTTTTTTTTTTTTTGGATAAATTTATTAGATTAGATATATAATAATATGGGAGAGCTAGAGGGGTGCCCGCACGAGTTTCCGCTGGTGGTTCAACTGCCCTTCTTATCTTCTGCAAGACTCTTTCCTGTTGTCGAAATGATGTAAACTTGACAATAATGCCTCCTGTTTTCCTTTTCAATGCTCGTGTCAACTCGAAAGGCCAATTGCAGAAGCTCCTTTATAATTTATTTTAAACTGATTTTTCAGGTGGAATAAAATTAAATTTTACTTGTGATTCTGCTCAAAGAATTTGAATACATTCCATTCTTTTCATATTTTCATACAATTCAGTTAGCAATTAAAAAATTAATACAATACAAAATAAATTTTATATTTAGAATCGAAGGAGTATTGTATTTTCTTCGAATTAAAAAAAACTAAACAGGAACATAAATATTTTTTCCTCCAACAATAATCAAACATGCCCTGATACCCTGCTATCACTTTTTTTCGGGTGATATCCTGCTATCACTTGTGCTTGTATATGTGTGTGGATTATATAGGGAGCTGTTCTGCCCATCAAATAATGGGCTTCCTTTGTATTGGGCAATACGAGTTATAATCCAACACGGTCCACCTCACCAGAGCCTAATTAAACACCTTGGCGCTTATCTTCCCCCCTCACCTTTGGGCTTTGGAGCTTCTTACGAAACCTACGTCACTTTCTTGTTTTTGCGACAGCACAGACTCTCCATTTTCAGCTCTGCAGCCGCGGTATCTTCCTCCTCCACTTTACAGATCTCTCTGTAAAGTATGTAGTACCTCGAATCCTAATTATAAAAGCTAATTGATTAATTTGAGAAGATTAAAAAAATAATTAAGTTAGTTATTTATAATAAATAAGTGTTATCTTTCCTAAAATATCCTTACTAATCAAGTGTATTGGTTAGAATTACTTTTGTTAAAAGGACTACTTTGGGAAAAAATACATAAATATGAGAGACACGGTGGATTGTGGTCTTATATTTAAAATAAAAAAAAGTCAAACAAGGTTTTATATTAAGGACCGGAGGTAGTATAATTTATATATACTCATCCAGTCGTTAATATAAGACTTATTTAACTAATTTGATTAGATTAAAAAAGTTAGTTAAATTAGTTAATTGTAAGAAATATGACATGTTTTTCCTAAAATAGCATAATCATCTTTCTTAATATTCTTTTTCCCTCTTTCACTTGATTATGGTTGAAGGAGTATCTATGAGGTTAATTTAGGATATATTAACTTTTTGAACCATCATTTCAGATTATACCCGAGAAGAATCGCAAGGAGATCTGCAAATATCTCTTCAAAGGTTTCTTTCAATTTCCCCATCATGTGTATTTTTCTGAAACAATTACATGTTTTTGGTTTCCAGAGGGATTTTTTTTTTCATCTGTATGAAAAAAATTGGGAGACATTGTATTTGTGCTTGCCATTTTTTAAAATCTCGACGTACATCACGAGCAACTGCCCCGATGTTTCTTAATCCATACACATATTCGGCTATTTGGACATAAATTCATTCTACTTAATTCTAACGTCTCGGCTTCAGTGATTCTTGTTTGTTTTTATCTTGAAGCCTTTGGATGTATCTCAGTAGTCCGCTGTATCACTGATCAAGTGTACTTTTCATTCATAATTGGTTGGCATTCTGATTTCCAATCTCTCTTGGCTGTTAAGATTTACACTAATGGTTTTATGAATTTTTACAGAGGGAGTATGTTATGCGAAGAAGGATTACAATCTTGCAAAGCACCCAGAGATGGATGTGCCAAATCTACAGGTGTGATTAAGCTGATGCAGAGCTTCAAATCGAGGGAATACGTTCGTAAGAGTTTTGCATGGACGCATTATTCTTGGTTTCTCACAAATGATGGAATCAAATATTTAAGGACATACCTTAATCTGCCCTCAGAAATTGTTGATCGCCCACGGTGACAAGATAGACTCGGCCTCATTTTGCAAGTTACTCTATATTTCCATTTTCCAGTGTGCGCGTCAATTTGGGTGCTTTGTTGTGTAGGGGTCCTCCTCGCTTCGAAGGAGGTTCAAGGTTTGGTGAACGTGATGGACACCGTGCAGCTTCTGGTAAGTTTGGTGGCGACAAAGGAGGAGCTCCAATAGTTTACCGGCCGTCATTTAGGGTAATTTTTTTTTTTTTTTAAAATCTGTATCTTGATGTTTCTATCACCTTTGCTTCTTCAATTTTCTCGAAGGCAAACAAATTCATGGAAACATGTTTTTGGTCGGTCAAACGAAACTTTTCATCTAAACTAGCTGATTCTTTTGGGGCTGTGGCGTGGAAACGGTGCTATATATTGTAGTGCTTTAATTCAAGTATATGTTTGTTTTGTAATGGAATGGAGATTTCTAAATTGTACTGTATATTTTGGAGGCTTTTAAGAGTATGTTTATTGCCCATATTCTGACAGTCATTTGTTTATAACTGTCATTGCCTCGGGATATAGTATTTGCTTATTCGGAATGCTATTACCAACTTCGAAGCTTCCCGGGCTTCTCGCCTGGTTTTGCTACTTAGCTAGTAATGCAGGGTCCTGGCGCAAGGCCTGGCTTTGGACGAGGCGGCGGGGGGTTTGGCGCAGCACCTGGTGCCAGCTTTTTATAGACACTATTTTTTGTCTCCATTCTCCAACATTAGCTCTTCGTGGGATTGCTTGGTCAAGGGTGCTACGCGGGAGCGCAAAATCGAGGTTAAGGGTTAATTTCCCAGCCCGGGCCCAACTTTTTTCTTAAAATTTGTTTACAAAAGGACAGAAAAAATTCTTCGAAGTATTCGCTTGTTTTTTTCCTCCCTTCGGACCAAGAGGAAATAGCGAAAATTGGCATGGTCATCGATTCTTGATTATCATATAATCTGTTCTTTAAAGCTCAAATAAAGCTTCAGCATGTTTCATCCCGCCTCAACTGAAAATGAATTCGTCTTTGCACTTGTTCTTTCAATAGACATTTGCCATTTTCCCGCATTCCACTTTCGATTAGGCACCTTTCATAAGGAAGATCCGGGGCGGGGGCTACCATCCCACAAACTTGATGTCGTTTTCAACAAATCGGCAACATTATGGATGATCCTGATCGCCATATATGAACACATTTAGGCGAGAGAAAGTTCTGTTTCTATTTATGTATCAAAATAACAATGACAGGTAGATGCGCGACGCAGACACACACTTTGGGGACCCAAATTACATGCGCAACGACAAAGCCCAAAAAGAACATAAACTAAACAAGGAACAACAAATAAAACTCAACAAAGCTTATGCCAGAGACCACCCCGCATCTACCTCTAATAATTTTTAAATTTACCAACAATGGACAACAGACCGTTGGGCCGTCAGTCCACTTCCTCCATCTTGCTCTCCTCAGCACCGCCTTCTTCTAGAGGAGGCATGTCTTCATCTTCGCCAGCAGTTTCCTCCTCATCAATGCTGAGCCCCAGCTTCAACATCCTGTGAATTCTTGCAGCAAACGTGTTGGGATCCTCCAGGCTGAATCCAGAGGTCAAGAGAGCCGTCTCAAACAGAAGCAACACAAGGTCCTTCACCGACTTGTCGTTTTTGTCAGCCGCTGCTCTCTTCCTCAACTCTTCCATTACCCCATTGTCTGGGTTAATCTCCATGGTCTTCTTGCTAGACATGTAGGAACCCATACTCGTGTCCCTTAAGGCCTGAGCCTTCATGATCCTCTCCATGTTAGCAGTCCAACCATATTCGCCTGTCACCAAACAACACGGTGAATCAACAATCCTGTCGGACACGACAACCTTCTCGACTTTATCTCCCAGAATGTCCTTGATGGTTCTGCAGAGTTCCTCGAAAGATTTCTTCTTCTCTTCTTTCTTCTTTTTCTCTTCCTCAGTTTCGTCATCCAGTTTCAATCCTTCTTTCGTAGCTGACACCAACTTCTTGCCGTCATATTCTTTCAACTGCCCCACAGCATACTCATCAATTGCGTCCACCATGTAAAGCACCTCGTAACCTTTCTTCTTAAGTCTCTCTAAGAATGGAGAATTCTCCACAGCCTTCTTACTCTCTCCAGTGATATAGTAAATGTCCTTCTGGCCCTCCTTCATTCTAGTGACATAATCCTTCAAGCTTGTCATCTCATCTCCACTCTTTGTGGAATGGTATCGAAGCAGATCAGCTAACTTGGCTCGGTTTTGGCTATCCTCGTGGATGCCCAACTTTAAGTTCTTCGAGAAGGCATCATAGAATTTGTTATAATCTTCTTTATTCTCAGCAATCTCTGTGAACATCTCTATGCACTTCTTCACAAGATTCTTCCTGATCACCTTCAATATCTTGTTCTGTTGCAGCATCTCACGAGAGATGTTCAGTGGCAAGTCGTCAGAGTCAACAACACCTTTGATGAATCCAAGGTATTCAGGGATGAGCTCCTCGCAGTTGTCCATGATGAAGACCCTCCTGACATAGAGCTTGATGTTGTTCATCTTCTTCCTAGTGTCGAATAGATCAAAAGGTGCTCTTTTTGGTACGAAGAGAATGGCCTTGAACTCAAGCTGACCCTCCACCGAGAAGTGCTTGACAGCCAGGTGGTCTTCCCAGTCATTGGTCAGGCTCTTATAGAAGGCAGCATATTCTTCCTTAGTAATCTCTTCTGGCTTTCGCAACCAGATTGGTTTTTGTTTGTTGATGAGTTGCCATTCATGGGAAACCTCCTTGATCTTCTTCTTCTTTGATTTGGTCTCCTTCTCTTCATCCACTTCCTCGACATCCCCTTCCTCCTCCTTCTTCGGCTCATCATCTTCATCATCGCTGATTTCTTTCTCAGTTGTCTTCTCGGTCCACAAGTAGATGGGGTAGCTAATGAATTCAGAGTGTTTCTTTACTAGGTCTTTAATTCTCCTCTCCTCCAGGTATTCCAACTGTCAAGACAACAAAGCAATATCGTTAATCAGCTACCTTAAAACCAAAGATAAAAATTGCTCAATGCGACAAATGAAGTTAAATTATTAACCTGATCTTCTTTAAGGAACAAGGTAATTTTGGTTCCTCTTCCCAGCTGCTCACCGTTGACATCCCGAGTAACGGTGAAGGAACCACCGGCTTGTGATTCCCAAACGTATTGCTCATCATCATTGTGCTTTGTGGTCACAATGACCTTCTCAGCAACAAGGTAAGCTGAATAAAAACCAACTCCAAACTGACCAATCATGCTCACGTCAGCACCGGCCTGCAACGCCTCCATGAATTCCTTGGTTCCAGACCTTGCGATGGTACCCAAATTGTTAACCAGATCTATAACAGAGCAAATTAGACAATTCAGTAAACCATTTGCCATAGAAACACCCACAGTTTGTGCGCACAAAGATGTAAATTGTTTTATTTTATAATTACAGTCCATAATGGTTTAAATTACATTACCTGCTTTCGTCATCCCAATACCACTGTCGATAATAGACAGAGTCTTGTTTGCCTTGTCGGGCACGAGTCTAATAAAGAGCTCCGGTTGAGCATCGAGTTTGCTCTTGTCCGTTAAACTCTCAAATCGAATTTTATCTAGAGCCTACATCATAGAAACACGAGACAATTCAGTTTCCACATCTGTTTCCACATCCCACTTCATTAAAAGAAACAGCGAAAACCAGAAACCCAACTCCATATAATCACGCCTACACAGGTCATGATCCATGGTAAGATGTTTACAAATTCTAAACCAGATTTGAAATATTATCAAGAACCAGAAAGATACTAAAACCAACTGTTCTTTTGTAAGATTGCCGTGCATTAATACATCAAGTTAACAACACATAGCCATTTCATCTCCCAAACCAAAGTACCGTGATCCATTATAGCAAAATTTATCATACGTCTTATCTCCCCAATCAACATTTAAACGCACCGTGAACGGCATGAAAATTTGCTCACACAAATGAGCATGAAGCTTCTAAGCGAGTGTAGAACTTACATCGGAGGCATTGCTGATGAGCTCACGAAGGAAAATTTCCTTGTTGCTGTAGAAAGTGTTGATGATCAAGCTGAGAAGCTGGTTGATCTCAGCCTGAAAAGCAAAGGTCTCCGAGTCAGCCATTTGAACATCCGCCATTGAAACTCGAACAATGCAGCTAACAGAAACGACGCGAGAGCTTGAAAGAGGCTACGAAAGAGACGATTGCTATTGTTTAGAGATGTCTACGGCTTCGTCTTGGTTGATTTCAAAGAGAAAAGAGAAGGGTATTTATCTAACCAGAGGGGGCTCTGTTTTTCAGGTTCTGGATTCTTCTACCTTTCTCTCGATCGTTTGTTCGCGTGATTTTGGAGGGGGCGTGTGGCCTGTGGAAATGTGGGGTTATGGTTGGCTATAAACGGTGTCGTTGGACGGAGAAAGGGAGAATTTTAAATTTCGGAGCAATAGGCTGTTTGGGTATCTGGGTATCACCCGCGTTAGGCGATGTTCCCTTCAGCCTGTGGTCCTAAAAAACAAAATTTCGGAGCAATGAGGGGGAGGAAGGCCTGAGGCATCTCGTTCATTCTGGAATGTTCCCTCCACAATGCTTTAAATTGACGCGGGTCGTTAAAGTCACCCGGCTGGTCAACCGTCGCCCCGATGCGCGCTCTTCTTTCCTTTTTCTTCGCATTCTCTCTCCATTTTTCTGTTGACTTAAATTTTCATGATTATTTCAGTACCATTATTTTATCATTGAAATAGTATTAAATTAGGGACTAGGGATTAGGAAAATGGATAATTCCATTTAAATGATTAGATTAAAATTAATAGGAAGATTATAAACTCATTAAATTGGGGTTCACCGGTGACATGACGTCATAAATTAAACAAATAACTTTTAACTTTAAGAAATTAGTTACGTTTATTACCAATTTATGAAATTATACAAACTAAAGTATTTTTTCGGGGAAAAAAACCAAATGAATAAAAACACCTTCACTCTTTTAGCTACAATTTTGTAAGGTTAGCTGTGAATATAAATATTATACTAATATAAGAGTTAGTTTGACTTTTAATTTAGTTTTAAATATAAAATTTTAATTCATTTTGTCTCTTATATGTATCTATTTTTTTTGAAGTAGTCATTATACTAGTTTTTTTTTTGGTAAAGTCATTATACTAGTTGTACATTGAATGTTTCATCAAATAACACTTGATTAGTAGAAATATTTTAGAGAATACATTCTCTATTTATTATAAATAACTAATTCAACTAATTTTCTTAATTTGCTCAAATTAGTCAACTAGCTATTATATTAAAAATTAGAAGTAGCACACAATTTCTTTCTACTATAAATAGCACATTTTGATCAAATAATTGGATACCAAACGGGGCAATATAATAATCAACCCCCCCCAAAAAAAACAAAAAAACAAAAAGACAACCATTTTCTCTTCACTTTCATACGCAACAAATATTCTGGGAGTCATTGAACATCATTGGCCAAGCTTGGATGGAGATTGTTTGGCAACAGGTTATGTGATGCAAAATTGATTTTTCTTCTGCACAAATCTACTTTGACCCAACATGCAATGTTTGGAATGACATTTAAAAAAAATACTTTTGGATAAAAAACAAAATTGAAGCTGAAAATATTTTTTTTCCTTTTGATTTTAATTTTAATTTTTTTACCTTTTCTTTTCATGATTGAACTTTTTAAAATAAATTAAATTTTATCAATATCAATTTAAATAAACTTCATTTTTATGTTCCACGGTTTTGTCAATCGATCCTAACTTTAAGTCAATTTCTTCTTTTGTTTTGATGTTATTTTGAAACTGTGTGTACTAATTTAAAATAATTTATAAATAATTTTTTAATCATGATTTATAAAATACAAAATAAGAAGTAAAAAGAATTTTATCTTGATTTATATAAAACAAATTTATAAATTATTTTAAACTTGATTCCAAATAAAACCAAAATTTTGCACGATTTGAGATAAACAAAATCACACGCTCCACTCATTTAGGGATTTTACCATCACTAAAATGACGGATTAAAATGCTAACGATGCAAAGCTCCATAAAGCCCGTATTTTCATACAGACGGAAAATAAGATTACTCATTACTCATTCAGATCGCAATCTCTGCATATTTTATTGAGTTCTCTTTAGCAGAAAAGATGAGCAAAATCAAACAAGACATGGTTGTGATTCCTTTTCTAGTCTACCAGTCAACTTGTCAATTATTCTTATCTTCAAAGCAGAGCAGTCTTCAGAATCAAACCCCTGCATAGCGTTAATTGTTCTCCCAAGCTTCTTTGTCGATCAACCGAGCATCCCAGTCGCTGCATAGGAGGCTAGAGAGTTGCAATGTGTGGAAGCTACACCAACATTTGGTACCAGGAAAGCTATTCAGAATTCGGTAACCATGTCAACCAAATTGTTTTCACACAGATATAAAGACCGGCTGAAACAAGTGAGAAAAGGAAGACCAGATTCCCAAACTATCAAGCAGCCGAGATACAAGGGTCTGGCTACATCCCTCATACATATATGCCTGTGGTATGTGTAAGCTATTTTATTCGAAAGCTTTAAATTAGACTCCTCCGGTTTTTAATATAAAACCTAATTGTTGAGTTGATTTTGGTCTTAAATATAATACCTATTCCTCTAGTTCTATTTATAGAACAGAGAGAGAATGTTTTTTTTTGTCTTATTTATAAGTCACTTTATTAAATTTTTAGTGTAAATATACTATTTTGTTCTTCATTTATTACAATATAAGTAGTTATCTCTTTTGAAATGTATATATATTAAATATATGTAAAGTTAAAAATTTGTTATATTTTAATAGAGAGTCAATGCATTTTAAGGTTTTTTTTATCTATGTGAAATATGCTGGAAATGTTTTATAAATAGGACCAGAGTAGTATTTCTCATATTTATTAATTTTTTCTAAATTATCCCTATAGATACTCCCTCAACCAGGATCAAGTAGATGAGGGAAGGAAGATATCAATGAAGATAATTATGGTATTTCAGGAAAAACATGTTATATTTTTTAAAATTAACTAACTTTCTTAATCTAATTAAATTAGTTAAATAGGTCATATATTAAGGATCAGAGGAGTATTTTCTTTTCTTCCCCTTTTTTAAGAGAAAGAGAGGGGTTTCTGGTCAACACGGTCTGAAAAAGGTTTCACCCTTTCTTTCTCCTAAAGGCTTCACCTGTTAGGAGACAAAACTCGAAATGCATGAAACCACTTTTGGCATGGTTGTTAAAACTCTGAATTGTACAGACACACTATTAATCGACCTTAAAATTCAAATCATTCCAAAAAGTTATTGACTCATTTGAATCACTAAACATTTGAATTTGCAAAAAAGTTCCCAATTGTTGAGTTTGATGCTAGATGATTTCATAAAATGCTCTAGCTCATTTTTTCACGCTAAAATTAAAAAGAATTACCTTCTTTTTAGGATGCAAGACTGAATTTTTTTCAGAGACGCAACAGGTTTTTAAGGAGAAAAAACTGTCAACTAATACTATCGTGAAAACTAGAGAACACGAATCACCTTTTAAATTTAAATGAACAAAGTAGCACAAGTACTTACTACCATTGGGAGGACTATAAATCAACATCCATAACAAGAGCCATAGCAAATTATGGGAAACAAAGCATGACAAAATTTTTTTTATTTTGTTTGCACATGCAAGAACAATCAGACCATAAATTGCAATACTTTAAAAAAAAAAAATGTTAGTAGATCATAGATAATTTTTTATGTTGTTTGCGAGTAAATGCAATAGCTATCTTCCCCCCAGACGAACTTGCTCTCGCCTTTAAAAGAAGTAACAAGAGATATATCTAAATGAAGGAACATGAACAGCGTTGAACATACCTTGATAAGTTCAATTCTTCATGCTCTTAATAAGTCTAGCACCAACCCGATCAAGTTGCTTCACATTTGCACAAGCCTTCAAATTTCCCTCTTTGAAGAAAGCCTCAACCATATGTTTCCCAATTTCTTTCCCTCTCTCCTCATTATCCGTCACTGCCACTGCTGTAGGACCAGCTCCACTGATGGTACATCCAAATGCCCCCGCCTCTAAGGCAGCTCTCTTCACAGCCTCCATCCCAGGTATCAAAGGAGCACGCCTGGGCTCAACAATCTTATCAGATGATAATGCCTTCCCCAAGCCCGCCAAATCCCCTTGCAACACTGATGCCACCAAAGCCCCTGCTTGGCTAGAGTTCCACACATGGTGTGGCATGCCAATCTCAGCTGGCAATGCTGCTCGCATTTTCTTCGTAGGTGCTTCAAAATCAGGACTTACCAATACAAAAAACAAATCCTTCTCACTTGGAAACTTCAGTTGGATCAAATCCAAGGGCTCATAACTGCGAATTAACACAAAACCACCCATGATAGCTGGTGCCACATTGTCAGCGTGATAACCTGAAACCTTCTCTTCTGATTTTAAGGCAGCAAGAACCAGCTCCTCAACACTCAACTTATTACCAAAAATCTCATTCACAGCAACAGCAGCAGCTGCCGCGCTAGCAGCACTGGATCCTAGTCCGCTTCCTAAAGGCAACCCCTTCTCAAGGGAAAGAGAAAGACCTACTGACCGAATGCCAAGCATTTTCATGGCTTCGATAGCGGCAATCCCAGCACAATTCCATAGTGGATTCTTGCTCAGCTTTTTGGCATTGTCACCAGAAATTTCAGAGATAGAAATCTCACCAGGGTGGACATTAGCGTCAATGCTTAGGGAGACAATATCTCCGAGGCCATCAACAGCACAGCCTAGGAAATCGAATCCAGGACCAAGGTTAGCTATGGTGGCTGGAGCAAAGGTTTCTACAGAGGCGAATATGGGATCAGGCTCGGCAAGGGATAAGGCTGTCCTAGAGGGGAGAGACAAGTTGCATCTTTGGAGAGTCTTGACTGATGACACCTCAGTTGACTGTGGGGTCCAGAGTTTTGCTGGAGTGTAGTAGCAGCAGCATATTGCCATTGCAGAGATTGATACAAATACGGACACTGAACACTGGTCTAACTCTTCAACGCCTGTCATTATGAATAGAGTTAAGGGGGGGAGATGGTTCCAGTCTATCCCTACAATTTTAACAAGTTGTGTTGTTTATGCATCCAATTTATTTCTTAGATTTTGCGTATTTCCCTTTGTCCTTTCAGCAACCATAATATTTATGAAAGCTTTACTTATTGAATGAGGCCATATCTTTGAATCACTTTCCATCTATTGAAACATGACAGTTAGAGCAAATTACAGCTCAAATCAGTCTCTAGATTTATTCAACCCATATACATGACAATAAATTTGGAATTTAAAAAAGTGCAGATACTTCACAAAAAGCTTTGCTACAAGGGGAAAAAAAAAATAAAAATGTTTTATTCATAAGAATTAAGATGCCAGAGAGAGTGTTTGTAGCATCAAACAACAATTAAAGATTGAGCAAAGGCAGATCAAAGATAACTAACTCTAATTATAAATTTCTCACTTTGAAATGCATCAGTCAACACCATTACAGTCTGTCAACATAACACTTTCTCAATATCATTATGCACCATTCTGATTATTCCGTCATGTAAATTGTAGTCGACACAGTACTTTCTCACCATGGTTATCACAAATTACAAAGTAAAACCGGCATCAAAACCAAAGAACGCGTAAGCAGTGACAAAGGACGACACTGTCAAAAAAGTATCCAATGAGTGCACAATGATATTAGTGAAACTGTGAAAGTATGAAGCAAATTCCAGAAATAGATGAGCCAACAGCAAAATGAGTTGAAGCAAAAAGAAGAACAGAAACACTTGCCAAACGTCTTTCAATAAACAAACATTGCAGAAAAAATATGAGTTCTTCAGAGGGCATTCTAAGTTGCAGCAAGAATGTTGCATCCAAGCCATTAGAAGAACACAAGGGAAAGTTCAAAAGCAGCTTGAGGCTTCCATTCCAAATCTCTCAAAATAAAACCATGAAGATGGGGAAAGCAAATAAAACACGAAATAAGTCTTAGCAGCCAAACTCACCAGTGAATTAATTCAACAAAAATATCATAAATAAAACACTTAAATGCTCATAAAGCGAGAATTATTTCACACAGAATTCTCCATAAGAATCGAAGAAAATGCAGAATCGATGCGACCAAATACTGTTGCTTCACCCCCAGAAGTAAAGACGCTGGTTTTAAAACAGAAAGAAAAAAGCTGACAATAGCTGAGAAAGATCGGAGCTTGGAGATGAAACGGGTGACCGGCGAGGAAGAGGAAGGTCGAGAGTGAAAGAGAAAAAGAGTACCTCACCAAAGACAATCAAGGCCAGGCTGAGAGTGAGTGAGAGGGCGGAGCACTTCAGGGTGGCGAGAGAGCGGCGACGAGAGTATCTTCGACCAGTGCGAGTCAAAGTGACGGATCGCAGCGCCAGCGAGTGGGATCTGCATAGAGCGAAGGCCGACTATCCTGAAAATCAACAGCATAAAATTACAAATTGCCATTAAAAAAATGAAGTGCTGGTCGCCTTCTAAATGTTTTTCTTCCCGGACAAAACTCAAAAATGGCAAGGAATATGTTATTAAAAAAGAAAGCATGGAATAACTCTCACTAATAATATTTTAACAAGCAAAAATAGGGTGCATATGACTAAAATGTCAACATATTTTAAATGCAGATAAAAAATTATGAAGTGATTATCTTTTCATCTAATGCTTTTTGGCCTCTAATAGGTTAATACTTCTAAGAAGTAAAAAAAAAAAAAACTCTATCAGAATGGCTTTGAAAAAAGTACTTTATAAATTTTATATAAAATTAGAGACTAAACAGTCATATACACTCATTGTTAAAGAAGGTGTTTGGATTAAAACAAAATCAAAATTTTAAAAATAATTTTATGATATATGAAATAAAAATATGAAATTTTTTTCTTCTCAACTTGTATGAAAATATTTTTAAAAAATATTTTTTGAGGTATCCAAACATCCCCAAAATCAAATTCAACTCAATTTATTTGGTCAAATTATTTATTGTTTTTAAAAAAACCTAAATAAACTGAATCAAGCCAAACTCAATTTATTTGGTCATAGAAATAAAATTTTTGAATATCCAGCTGAAATATTTTTCTTATATATACAAATATATAAATATATAATTTTTATTTATAAATATGTTAAAAAAACAATTTCAGCGGAATCCAAACATTGTGGTTCGGTTCAGTTTGATTCGAATGAGATGAGGAACTCGGTTTTGCTAGGTATTTACGGAAGAGTCTGTTATATTTAGTTACCTTATGCAGGCACTCCTGTCCATTTCCATCGTACCATAATTTCATTTGCCGGGAACCCAACACTCGTTATTGTAATTCACTGTTCAAAAGCAGTCAACGCTCCGCTGTTGCTAATCAGAGCTCCAGCCACATTCATGGTGTTCATCGCTTGAGCCACTCGCCGAAAAAGCAGAGAACTTTCGCTTCTTAAGCATAACATTCTTCCATGGCCTCCTGGCGGCGTATGACTGGCGCTTACACTATGCTTTCCCTGCTTCTTTCTGCTTCTGCAGCCATCGCCGTCATCGATCACTTTGCTATTCCGACGACATGGTTTAGCAACTTTAAATATGGTGAATCATATTCTTATGGTATGGTCAGTGTGGTCAATGAATTTACTCACGATCCCGAAGCGTTTACCCAGGTAAATTTGGGGTTTCAATGATCTGATATAGTTGGGGATTCCTGCTATTTTATGTGCTTTACTTTCTAAATATATCCAATGTGTGCTCGGTAGCTGATAATGGGGTTATCTCAAACCATAAATACTATTCTTCTTGACAATTTGAAGCTCCAAAATACGAATTCTAACTCATTAGAAATTAGGACGAGTTGCTACTATATGCTTCTCGCCTTTTACTTCTGCATGCCTATGATTCCCCCGCCACCCTCCCATTTCATGCATTTATTATGTAATGTAGGTTTCAACCCCTCAAGTATTTTTGTTCATTCTGATAATTTCATCAATAATACATGTTGAGACAAAATGCCGTTATTTTCTCTTCATATTTATAATAATAAATTTGAGTCTTCGTCTGAAATGCTTAGAACAACAGGCTTTTAAATCTTGAAGGACTTTTGTAGAAGGCCTCAGTTGAATTTAAGAGATCCAAATTCATCAAAGGATCACTTGTTAGGTGTTCACTCTATGAATTTTCAGTTGAATTGGCGAAAAAGGCAAAAAAAAAAAAAAAAAAAAAAAGACATTACTGCTTTCTGCCCAAAATAAATATAAGAAGGACTAGTAGAAAAACAGAACTTGCCTCAGTGATTGCTGATGCGAGGACCTTATAGGTCTTGTGGATACCTTTCTTGAGTACTCTACTTTCGGTAGCAAAACATTATGGGTGATTGCTAAAATGAGCTGTATGACCTATGATAGGTAGTGATATAATTTCTGAGATTTTTTGAAGTTAAAAAATGTATACCTTGCTTGACTAATGGAAAGCCAAGGTTTTGATCTAAATTATCTTATTTGTAACTCACGGAAGAGGAAAATTTTTCGTCTCTGCTTATTTAATTTCAGGGTCTTGTTTATGGTGGAAATGACACCTTATTCGAGTCAACTGGTCTTTATGGGAAGGTCAGGTTACTTTCTTTTTCCCTGTATGCCCTTCTTTCTCTTTTATTTTTGTGAGCCATTTGTCTTGCCATTTTTCCTTCTGAGGTGAACGCAAATATTTTATCCTTAAAATGTAGAAAGGCGGGTGGATATTGTCTGCAGTCATTTTTTTGCAATGCGTGATAATAAGATTAAGTTGGGAATGCATATAGTTCTTGCAAATGAAAAAATTACTCCATCTGTGGTAATTTTCTCAATGATTAGCTACTATAACTGTATTCCAGTGCATTGCTGTCCGTATAGTTCAAGATGGTCACCTAAGTTTTTCATTATAACTTTATAATCTTTTGACTGTCGTAGTCACTATGATATTTCTTTCAGTGGGATTATTGTAGTAGAGTCTTTATAATTTAACCAGATGAGGATTTTCTCTTTGGCATAAAATTTGCTATATATCATGAAAAAAGTCCTTCCAATTCTGAAATTAATTTCTTTGGAAAGATTTTGTTTTTTCTCATGTCAGTTATGTAAGTTCTGAGTAATTGACAGCTGCTCGAATTACTATGACACTTGTTTCTTTGGATCTTGTTTCATGATTAAGTTGTAAATTCATTCCTGATTGTTTGCATTCACTACAATGGTTTCTCAATAATCCCAATCTAAAATCAACTTATATATAAAACTAAGCTGCAGTGTCAATATCACTGCTACTAGTGTCATCTAGGAGCTAGGATTAAACTGCTTTGGAACTTCTACTTAGGGAATCTTTCATTTAATGCTTATTATATTTTATTGAACCTTTCAATTACTTGTTTCAGTCATCTGTTCGGAAAGTAGCTCTTCATACTGGGAAGGTATGGACCCCTGTTTCTCGATTCTTTCTCATGTTCTTGTTTAATTACTCAGTTCATTGTTTTGAGTTATAATAAGAATAATGATTGGTGTTATGCAAACTATGTAGTTTGTTCAACCCGGAGAGGCAGAGACAACTTCTGTTAAGCCTGTGCTATTCATAAATTGGAAACCCGACTTGTGTAGTTGTGTGTAGTGATGTGAAGTTTGTTTGACTGGACTTAGTAGGTGGCAGTTATATTATAAGATGCTTGCGGATTAAATTTGTCTGACTATCATTTTTGCTACTTTCAGGTTGAGACTCTTCTGAAGATTAATGATTCTATATTTGGTGAAGGACTGACTCTTTTTGGTGAAAGGTGTGTATAATGTATAGTAAATTATTCCGCAACTTGGTTTTTTCCTGATATGAAAGTCAAGAACTAAAACAAAGCTCTTTAATTTGGGAAGACAAGGTGCTTATGATTCTGTTGTGAAAAGTAGATTTTGAGTTTGAATCGAAGGTAGGAAAGTTATGGATTGAAGCTCACGGATGCTATGGTTAATGAAGGGAAATGCACAGGCAACACTGGTTTTAGGGTTAGGTTAGCGATTGTCTAGGTGCAGCGAACGTACCTACAGGTTTGATAGTTTTAAGACCAAACCCAAGGAAGAAATAACATAGGCTTTGATGTTTGTCAAAGAAATCATGTCCAGGGGGCGGACAATAATAACAAACAGAACAGTGGGAGAGGAGAAGAAAAGATATCTAGATGTTGCACAACCAAGAAAGAACGAAATTTGCAGCCATAAATCATAAAACTGATGAACATACTAACAATTGAGAAGCACTACAACTGTTTGCTTAAGCCTATGACAACTCTTTCAACAAGAAGGGGATAAAATCCCAGACCCATAAACGAGACTTGAATGTTACAATAGGACTTTTTAAAATCTAGCCCAAACACAAGTCCAATTACAAACATAGTCCAGGAAATTTGAAAATTACCGCAATGCCTTAGGACTGAAAATATAACTTGTTTTTGATCGAAAGTTCTGAAGTCTTAAAAAAGATTTCAGTAATTGAATGCCCAGTAACTCTTAAACAATACTAATTCTAGGAAAAAAAAATCTGGTATAATAATAGAAAGTAAACATCTATAATCCTACAACAATAGCGTTACATTTGTTCTATTTACATATCAGAAGTCAAAAACATTGATTTCTTCCAAAAAGAATCCAGGGAACGTAGATATGTAGGCACTATGATGTGTCATATTTTTGTTTTACTCTTCCACTTGACATTTGAGTTTATTCTAACAAACAATTTGTTATGCTTTCTGTAGGTTGTTCCAAGTAGCTTGGTTGCAAAAGACTGGTTTCATATATGACTGCAATGATTTAAGCAAAGTTTGTGCCTAACCTCACCCATATTTTGTCCTTGACTCGTTTCGTGTTTCTATTTTCAATAAGAAATCAAATACTCTCAATATATATTTATAGTGACCGCGTACCATGTTAGAATCAGTAGTCACTGCATTATGAGCAAGGAAGGAATTTGTATTAGATCTATCTGTTAGAAGTTTTTTGTTTTAAGAAAGGGGTTTCGATTTCAATAAACTATGCTGTACTTTGGTGAAGACAATGAAAAAAGATGTCTTGGTTGAGTTCCTTGCTTAAACTTAATTATGACTTGCTTATGATCTTATCTAATTCTATACACTATCTCTTGTATTTCCGCATTTCCAATCCACGCAAGATGCGAATTTTTCATTTCTTATCTTGTAGATTTTCATCAGATGTTTTTCAGGACAGGGTTGAATGCCCAAAATGCCAGTTTATACTTTAAATAGCTATTGTTAAAAGAAGAAAACAACTTAAATAGCAACTATTGGGTGTATATTTCCTGTAGGTTGGAGAATTTATGCATCAGATGAATGATGGGTGGGGTCTGGCAACTGATGGAAAAGTTTTGTTCGGAAGTGATGGCAGTTCAACATTGTATCAGATGGATCCTCATACATTCAAGAGTTGCTTATCTAGCACTGCTTTAACATTTTTATAATTGTTCCTTGTATTTTCGTTTTACTGAATTCGCTTGCTGGTTTTGATGCAGTTCTATCAAAACATGTTGTCTATTACGAAGGTCATGAAGTAAAATATCTCAACGAATTAGAGTTTGTAAATGGTGAAGTTTGGGCAAATGTTTTGGGGGTATGTTCTTGCATGTTTAGTTGTGACTGTGTTTGCAGTAGATATCTTTATGTACATATCAGCAAAATACAGACAGATGTGTTTGGTGAAGTTCTTTTTTGTGCACAATCTTCTGAGGTCAATAGATTTTCTTTCTCCAGGTCGACTGCATTGTAAGAATCTCTCCCAAGGACGGTCGTGTTATTGGATGGATTCTCCTCCAAAATTTAAGGTATCGTTTGTGCAGGTTTTGATTGCTGTTAAGTAAATTTGTCAACTGTGTTGTTTAAGGCTGCATTTTGTTTATCCTGTGCAGGGATCAAGCGGTAGCACCTGGGAATCAAGTAAGGAACTCTGAACGGCTGACCCTTTCATTTCTATAAACTAATAAGATCCTTTTTCTTTGGGGTTTAGCTTGACAACTTGGAATCTCAGTTAAACCAAAGATTAGCTGAAAAAGATATGTTTCTAACATCTGAATGTTGCCACATTGTAGAAGCAGAAGGTTTTGAATGGCATAGCATGGGATAGTGAAAGGAAGCGCATATTTGGTAAGCTGTAGTAACATTCTCCTGCTCATACCAATAAAAAGGAAGATGTTTAGTCTAAACGTGGGAATTGTTCTTACGAGGAGGAGAAAAATAAAGCTGTAGCCCATGAAAGTTAATTTTTTTAATTCAATAACCTATGTAAGTTAATTTGATTGCTTTTCAATGCCCTTATCATACACAGTACTAGTCACTTTTGTCCATGACTAATGTGTTTGCTTGCAGTGACGGGAAAACTATGGTCAAAGCTATACGAAATCAAAGTTGTTCCTATAAAGAAACCAATTGAAGAAGGGTTCATTGAGCAGCTTTGCTTGAGTCCACTTGGAAGTGAGAGTTTGAGAGGCAGTCATCAACTATAAAGGGTTCTGTCATGTTGGTCTCTGTAAGTCTGTCCTATGAGTCTCGTGGGTTCTATGCTTGCTCACTCTCCAACGCTCTTGTGTGAAATGTAAAAGAAAATGGTCCAAGATGAGAACACAGAGAGAGAGAGAGAGAGAGAGAGAGAGAGAGAGAGAGAGTGGTGCAAGAATACGTTTGAGGTGTGGCGTGTAATGCCGTGATTAAATAAATTCTCCTGCCGAATAAATTTATTGCTCAATAAGTTGTTTTATTTACATAGTAAATAAATGATACTCTCTCTTCATCCTTAATATATAGGAGCTAATTAAGAAATTTGTTTTACCTTTAAATATAATATTTTAATTTATTTTATTTCTTAAATTTATAATTGTTCTCAACTTATTTTTATTGATGAGATATAAAAATGGTTTTTTAATAAAAAAATAACATATTTATTACAAATAACTAATTTAATTAATTTTTTAATATTTATAAATTAGTTGTCTTTTTTTTTTTGGGAATTATCTCATGTTGACAATTTGGCACTAACTTTTTGTGGTTTATTTGAGAATTTTACTATCTAGTATGCTATCTAAAACGATTTCTGTCCAATTTCAATTAATTATTTTTGGATAGATGTTTGTTTGTTTTCCAATACTCCTCAAATGAAAAAAAAAGGATCATAAATATCATGAGAGGATCATAAATATAATGAGCGATACAAGAACGTAACGTTAAATTTTAAAAATAAAATCTGGCACATGAAGCTTGTGTCCCTGAGTGTCATTTTATTTTATTTTTATTATCTAAAATCAAATTCCCGCTAATTTCTCAAATTCGTTATTATATTCGTTACTTGTGCTGAGAGCGGGAGCGAAACCATCCGAATTTACCTGAAGAGTTCATCTATAGCTCAAAGCCACCGGCATTTCCACCTTCTTCTACTACCACTACTTCTTCTTCTTCCTCCTCCTCCTCCTCTTCCAATGTCTTCCCATTCATCATCAATCATAAAAGCAAATCCCACAAAACCGAACTCATTCTTCGGCGTTCCAATATGGATTCTGCTTCTAGCTTCAACAGCAGCGTTCATCACGTTCATGATTTTCATCGCTCTCTGCATTTGCTTCATCTGCTTTCGTCGTCGTCGTCACAGAAAGCCATACAAGTCCCGATTTTCTTTGCCCAAACCAATTGCTTCCAAGCATTACCGTCATCTTCGTCACGATTCCAGCTCGTCGTCCCTCGACAAGAGGCTACTCTCAGGCACTATTGATGTCTCCGGAATTCTGATGAACTTTGATCGGTTCTTGCCAAACGTCGATGACGGTAGGGAAGATGGAGATTTAGAATCGATTGTTGGATGTTCACATAGGAGTAAGAATGTTTTGGGACAGAGTATAGAGTTCGGCTTGCAGGAGATCATGGAGGCGACGAATGGATTGGCTAAAGAGAATGCGATTGGAGGTGGAGATCATGGAACTGTTTATCTCGGTTTGTTGCGGGATGATACTCGAGTGGCAGTGAAGATACTAATAAGCTACAGGTACGTCTAATTGAAGGCAACCTTTGCGTCCGTGGTTTATTACTATATTTCTGTTGAATATCACATAAACTGCTTGAAAAAGGTATTTGACATGGACAGATTTTATCTGTATTTGTATGCTGTTAATTTTTTTTCCCTTTTTTTGGCATCTCCAGTTGTCAAAGTGAGGATTTTGCACTGCAAATGGAGGCAATTGGATCCGTAAGACACAAGAAACTGGTCCAATTGCTTGGATATTGTACCGAGGGATCTTGCAGGTAGGAGCTTCAAGTATTACAAGAGTAAATAAGTTTGTGAATTATTACCATTGAAGAATTTTTAGCGTTACTAAGTTCCCTGTCTATTAGGATGTCAGTGTCTGAATACATAGATAATGGAAATCTACATCAGTGGCTTCACCAGTTTCCAGGACATGTCAGCCCTCTAACATGGGAGACCAGATTGAATATTATCCAGGGTGTGGCGAAAGGGTGAGATTTAGAATCTCAAAGCTCAAGGTTTCTGTTTGCTTTACTGAAATATTCATGCTCATATGTCACTTGAGGACTACGAACTTTTGCAGATTGGCCTACCTTCATGAGGACGTTGAACCCAAGATTCTCCATGGAAGCTTAAAATCTAGTAATATTTTGCTTGATCACCAATGGAATCCCAAAATCTCTGATTTTGGCCTTACTACCCTTTTCAATGCTAAGTGGACTCCTAATATGATGGAAACATCGAGGTCCGTTTCTGTGCTTCACAAACTTCTAAAAGATCAGTTATTTTCATGCAATATCATTTTCTATCTTAGTAAGTTTAATTTTCGTAATATTTCAGTTTTAGGGATCCAAGCGATTTCAGTGAGAGCAGTGACATTTATAGTTTCGGAGTTCTTATAATGGAGATTGTATCAGGAAGGACTCCTTTAGATCATAGTCTACCCCAGGTAACCTTGGAGAATTTTCAACCCATCTTCACTCAAAAACATCTTCTATATGATGAATTTAACACGACATTTATATTGCAGGAAGATTTAGTTCACTGGTTTAAGTCTAGGATTGGAAATGAAAATATCGACCACCTGGTGGACTCAAAATTGCCTGAAATGCCTCCATCCAAGGAGCTCAAACAGATGATTTTGGTATCTCTTCGATGTGTTGATCCTGATGTGAACCCAAAACTCAAAATGGGAGATGTGATTCGGATGCTTGAGCCTCGCGACCTGCTTCTTTCTAATGTAAGAACTACTAGTTTTGATCTCAATTGGTAGAAGTTTACCAACTTCTGATCTATTTTATAATTATAATTTCCTCTTCCTTTTCTGAAGGAACACGACATTGCTGGGGAAGTTTACGAATACAATCACTCACCAGAAAGTAACCCTGCATCGGAATTAGGTGGCGGTACTTAAGAGAGAAATATAAAAGGGTTATAATGCTGGTCTTGAGGATCTCTGACAAACTCATCTGGAAGCGTTTTTACCTTACTGTGTACATAAAGGTCTTGAGGTGCTTACAAGCCTGAGTAGTAAGATTCACGGGTATTGGAACGTTTTTGTAGAGAGACCCTTACGAGAATCCCTTCCTCTTGAACAAATTTAACTTCATAAATCCTTTTCAGAAGTGTTTCTGTGGATATGTGGTAAAACATTTTTGGGAAGTGAAGTTCTTTTGGGTCATGTTGCGCCTTAGACAGAGACTCCTGAAATGGCTATGGAGCCATGGGTGTCCTGTATTATTGTCAACGAGATGATCAACTGAGCAGGGTTTGAAAAATGATTCTTCCGTAAGAAAAGTTAGATTCATATAGAAAACGTCATTTAGGCATAGATGATTATTTTCAAGAGTTAGTATTGTTTGCTACTGGTCAGTCTCACTGTTTTTCAGATTTGTCTTTATTTTTATTCTATTATTATTCTAATTTCTAGATAAAATATCATTTTATTTTCTATTTTGTTTTTGCGTGAAAAATACAAACATTACAAAAAATGTAGACCGTGAAAATTAAAATTTGTCGACCCTCATAAATCTGTTAAATAACAATAAGTCAATACACTGCAACGATCTTTTAATTTTAAGTGCATGACCGTCATAATTTATAATATCCTCTTTGGGATTTGAATTTAATGTGATGAAGCACAATAGTTCCGCATTATACTTCAATGACAAAATTTCATTTAGTAATTAGTAACAGGCCTCGGGCAGTTGTAAACTAAATTACATAGTTCATAACGCTTTTGGCACCTTTACTAACAGTTACACTTTATTTTCTGTAAGCTACAACATTGTTGACCAAAGTGCTTACCTATAACACTAGAGCCAAATTTCAAAGCAAATACTCTTTGAATGTACTAGAACAAGTCTTCAACTGGACACTATCAATGGGCAAACTGTCTTTCGGATAAGGGCAGTCAAATTTCTGTTCCTTCTCTGGCAGCAAATCACAAGGCTTAGGAGTCACATTGCTTGTGAATCCCTCAACATCAGTGCAATTCCATTGGAGTTCCTTTGGCTTCTTGGTCAGTTTGATATTCACATCAGAAATGCAAATCCCAGTGAAAGGATCACCAGAAATCCCGTCAAGTCTTGCTGAGTAAGTCACATTATCAGCTATAACATCTCTGTAGTTTATTCCACTTATCTTTGGGAGTGCTTTGGGATCAAAACCTGGGTCTGGATGAGACCCATAAGAGCCTGTCATCCAGAACACATATTTCATGGTGCTTAAGTTCATTCCTTTCACAAATATGTCTTTCACATAACCTCCTCTTCCAACTGCAGTTTTGATTCTAACAGCTGATTGGGTGTTTATTGCATTGTTGTTTTCAGCTCTAACATCTTGGATGCCACCAGACATCTCGCTTCCTAAGGCAATCATTGCGCTATCCGGGGATATGCAGGTAAGCCTTCTAACAATGAGATGTTGAGTTGGCATCCCAAATCTAATTCCGTACTGATCCCACCCACTTTTTACTGCGACACAGTCATCGCCGGAGACAATGTAGCAATCTTCAATTTTTACGTTTGTAGATGAATCTATAACAAAAGGCAGAGAGAAAAATGTCAATTAGACAGTGAGAGACATGTTCAGCTAGTGACGTTTGTCTCGAGAAACACGTAGAAACAAGAATGCGATAGGATTATTAACCAATTACCAGGGTCTATGCCATCTGTGTTTGGAGAATCAATTGGTGCAATGATGGTTAACTTTTGAATTATTACATTGCTGCATATAAAGTGTCTTGATCAGAATAATCAGATATGAAGACCACTATAAGCATGAACACAATGAATCTGGACAAACCAATCTATGAGACGTTTGTACATGATGAATATGAAAGATTAATCATCAAACCTGCTATAAATTGGATGGACAAACCAAGAAGGAGAGTTGAGCAAAGTTAAATCGGAAATCTGGATTTGATCGGAGTACATGATCTCAATCAGGTATGGTCTTGTGACTTTCAATTTACCCTTGTGGAACTTATCCCACCAATAAGATCCTTGCCCATCAATTGTCCCATTGTTACCTAGTGATCAAATTGCAACAGGTCAAAGTCCATTATAACCACTGTATATGACATGAACATGGTTTAAAAAAAGTTATTGTGATTGATAAATGATTAATTGTTCCAAATAGTTACCAGTGATGACGACATCAGTAAGGTTAGTTCCAAAAATGAGACTGCTGAGCCTTCCATTTGGTGCATCTCTTCCTCTACCATAAGACGGTAGCACAGGAAGTTCAGGCCATTCTGACTCATCCTGTCAATTTTGCTTTGCTACGTTAGAGACACGCATAAAATCATTTCAGGCCTTTTGTAAGGGAACCAATGACCATAGACTACTATACCAAGAAATCGCATTAGTTAGGCAAGTCTTCAAATTCTCAAAAATCGAGTACTTCATGTTGTCCCATATTAATCCACTATACTATACTTTCTCTTTCATACCAATATGAAATATAGGTCATGAATAGTACCACTTATATCTTCGAACTTCATTGAATTTATGTTGAAACGTGTCTATTTTGACTATAAAAGATCTCCTTTATATGCTAAAGAATTGACAACAAAAGAAGAACAACACCTGAGATCCAAGAATGACAGCATCTTTGTGAAGAAAAAGAGTGAAATGGCTAGTGAGATTAAAGCTTCCAGTGAGCCATTTGCCAGCTGGCACAATAAGTTGTGCTCCTCCATCAGATGCATATTGGCTCAGATGACTAATGGCAGACTGAAAGGCCTTAGTGTTTGATGTTTTGCCATCACCAACCCCTCCAAAATCTGTCAAAACTGCACCATGCTTCCTGCAATTAATGGCAGAATACTTTAACTTCTCCGATCTTCTCACTGATCCTCTGCTCTCTACCGATCCCAATATCACAACTATTGAGATTATCCCAATAATCTGTAGGAAATTCGATACTGTCAGATGCAACGGGTAACATGACTCGTTTCTCAAACGTAAAGTAATTTATATAATACAATACATTAAACATCACACAGAGCATGAGTCAAAGCGTAATCATCGTCGATAAATATTATATCAGACAAGCTCCAAGGGACGGGAAGAGAATTACGTAGGAGTTTCTGAGCTGTAGGCTTTGCGACTTCATGGTACGAGACGAAGTTTTTGTTTTCTGAGGAAGAAGACTCGGAAAGTGACGAAGGCATGGGCAGTATATATAGAGGGGGTTCTAAGGATTGTGATTTGTGAGTGCACCGGAAACGGAAAATTTTCTGAACCCTTTATAGAAAAATATCGTGACATTAATATTGCCCATTTCATTTTTTTAAGAATCTTTCTTAGTTTGCCTAGTAAATCCAATCTAATGCAGTGCATCTCGTCCGTGATATCCGGTCCAAAATTTCAGTTTGTTTGTTCTCTTTTGTTGTTTTCACCAACCAGAAGAAGAAGGTTGTTTTTGAAATCAATGTGGCGTAGAAATACCACGTAACGATCAAATAATAAAAGCACATAATGACGTGCATTGAAAGTACATTGTATCTGTTTCATGTTTGTTCATGCATGACCGTTTGTCCCTTTGAATTTTGACCTTATGATTCTTATGGATTTTGGAAATGGACGGATATCTGATATTAACAACTTTTGAATCCTTGCCAATAAATTGAGAGGTGTCTATTTTGCTTTTTGAATGTTTATGGAAATACTTTTTCTTCTTGCCGAAGTTTATGGAAATACTTTGAAACATTGCTCAACCCTTTTGACTGCAAACAGTTAAATGTTGGTCGCATAATGTTTTTACCCTGCATCACAATATAATTACCCCTTAAAGATTGAATAATATATAATTAAAACTTCGATGATTTCATGATTTGATCCATAGATAAATAATATTTTATGGAGATTTGATATTATGTGATACTAAACCCTATAGTGAAAAATACAAAATGCTTAACAGAATATTTAAGTAGGATGGTTTGGTCAATTGAACAGCTAATTTTTAAGCCAGGATTCTCCATGTCTTTTATTATATTTCTTTAGGGTGTGTTTGGTTTAATAGAGGAAGGGGAGATATTTCAGTGAAAAGCAGGAATTTTATTGAAATAGTAAATAATCTTTTTTTCTAAGTTTTTATTTATTACACTTCGATTTTATACCACCGAGGCACCAAGATGTGTTGTTTTTTCAATAGAGGTTTGTATTTTTAAAATCATCATTTTAGGCTTAGTACGGGGATCTTCGTTTAAAACCATTTCTAGAGCCTACTCTTCTGGTCTTATTTATAAGACACTTCCAGCATGTTTCACACACTAAGAAAAATATTAAATTTCATTAACTCTCATTTAATATTTAATAACTTTTCTACTTTTTCCATATTTAATATATATAATACTTCATATAAATAAAATCAATACAATAATAAATGAAGGGTAAAATTATACATCAATACAAAAAATTTCTCTTAATACCTTATAAATAGGATAAAAAAATATCTTCTCTCTACCCTATAAATAGGACCAGAAGAGTAATAATTTTTTTTCCTAAATTAGCATTTTCAAAATGGGTTTTTAACTATTATTACCCTTTTAAAAAATTCCTTTTTTTTGCCATCCTTTTGAAAAAAATCCAAAGCGTTATTTTTACTATATAATTCTTAGTTAAAATTGATTTTAAATTATGTTCATTTCTCTGAGACCGAATTAAGTTGATTAAGCTTATTTTGTCATAAGATTTTTTTTCCATTTTATTCAATTGTCAAAATACTCTAATCAGTTTTTTGTTTTAGGCCTTTAGCTTAATTACCCAAAGGTCCCTCTATTTTTCAAAATATACATTTTAGTCTATATTGTTAATTTATATTTCCATAAGTTTCTAAAATTAAAAAAATGCATTTGCAATTTAAATTAAATAGAAGAGATCAAAATATTTTACTCTTCATTAAATAATGCATATAATATATGGTGGGCCCGAGTTTTTCTCATAAATTCTTTTCATTGCAAATAATCAAAATTTATTAATATTGGGACAATATTGAGTTTCTTGTTAAAAATATAGTTTTAATTAGTATTTATTAATTATTACGCCCAACTAATAATACACCAAGAATCCAAGAAATGTACTTGCACATATTGAGGATGCAAAGTATTAACGAGCTTTATTCAAAGTAGAGTTGAAGCGAATAGGCATGCTTGGGTTTATATACAAGGCACAAGCTCATTGAAAATGTATAAACAAGCATAAGATTTCGGCAAAACTATCTAAGGCAGTATTTATTCATAAAATTGTATAAAAAAAGTATTTATTCATAAATCCATTTCCGGTATTTTTCATCCTATATTATCCTGTAGGCAGCAAGTGTCAAAATAATTTTAGGCAATGTGTGGTTGGACATGAGAAAGGGAGAAGACAAGCTAGAGCACAGAAAATGAAACTGCTGTTTCATACGTAAGGTATATTATTTCCTCTTCATTCTAAACCAACAGTATGTGTCACTTCTTAGGAATAGATAGAGTCATTTCCATTCACATCATCTTTCTCTTTACCTTTCATATCTAACACTCTGAACACCAAAATTAGGCCTATCACGTTGCCTGCTGCTGTTAATAACTGTAAGTAGGGGTGTTTAATTTATCCTGTCCCAGTCGTTTTGTCCCGGTCCCGGTGAGTTCGAGACGGGACAGGACGGGACAAAAAAAATTTCGGGACGGGACAGTAACCGGGACGGGACGGGGTCATCCCTTCCCGTCCCGTCCCGAGATTTTTTTTGCTTTTAAAAATTATTTATTAATAATTATTATTAGATTATTCAATTTACTTATTAATAATAACTCTTATTTTTATGGTGATTTGTAGCTCTTAAGTTGTAGTATTATCTCAACAAAATCTCCTTTCTCAATAAAATAATTCATAAAGTCATTATATAGTGTTTTTTTTTATGATATTTTTTCTACAGTATTATTTTTACACCTTTTTTATGTTATATAATTAAGCTTTCTACATAATATTTTTTTATAATGTTTTTATCTTTAAAAGCCCAATAAAAAATAAGTATTATAACATAAAAAAATTCATATAAAAAATTATGGTATCTTTTTTTTTAAAAAAGGGGGAAGCGGGATGTCGGGACCGAGACGAGACGGGACACGGGACAAAATCCCTGTCCCGTCCTTGTTTACGGACGGGGACCGGCCCCGTCCCATGAACACCCCTAACTGCAAGTAAACAATGGAATACCAATATAGCAGTCTAGTACCTGTACCAAGGAACATACTCAAGCCTATATAGCTTGTACATCCTGCCAATCATCCAAATCGCAATTCATCGTCTTTACACTCATGACAGATGGGTTAGAATCCATTGAAACCAGTGTAAAATTTTATACACTTCACTCGGTAAAATATCATGGAATATTACTATTAATCTAACAATTGTACTACAAGGAAAAAACATGGCAGCACTAAACCAAAAAAGAAAAAAGGGGTTTCACAGACTTGGTAAAGAATCAGCGTGGAACCTGCCACCACATGCTATAATGGCACTAAAGACTGCAATACGGTTGAGCTGATCTCAACTAAAAGTTAAGAGTAATCCTCCCACTAATTCCAGAAATTCAGTAGCGAAGTGAAGAAAAGTTAAAAATTGAACGAGTAAAGATAAGGCTTACTAACCCCCCGCGGTTGATGATGAAACCCCCCCCCCCCCCCCAATACAGAACAAGCAGTTGCAGCCGAAACAATTTCAACACCAAACGGAACTTTATCATGTTGCTCGTAATTGGTCCATTTAAACAACTGAACCGTGGTCTTCTTTACCGTTGCGCTGAGCATATGACCGACAATTACCCACACTTCCGTACCCCTGTAAATATATTTTGAGGTTGGGGGTAACGAAGAACTGCAAAGCATATCACTGATGCAGTTTCCATAGGGAGGACACAACTTTTACAGCCTGTTATCAGCTTATCAGATAAAAGAGTGGTAGCTTAATTCCTCAACAAAAGGAAATTGTGCGTGCCTGAAGAGGATCAATAACGCAACATGCCAAACATAGCAGAGGAGGACTAAACTAGATTCACAAATTCGGTAGAAATTTATCATTGAACCACCAATAACTTGTTACAATGGCAACAAAGACTCTAAACGCCTGCAACTGAGTTACAGACGCTAATTCTGACAATGATGCTATGAAGTCACCAATAAAAATGAAGAAATGCTTGGTGAAGAAAACGAAGAAAGTTATGCTTTACTAACCCCACTGTACGTAGCTTCCTCCTTCTACCTACGTCTAAAACAAATAATTGCAGCCAAAAAAACACTTACCTTTTCCACAACCCGAAACACCGAAATGTCATGACAAGCCAACCTATCTCAAACTTGCAATTCTCAAAGCAGATTCTAACCCCAGCCTAAGAAGGAGAAAAACCCACGCTTTGGCTCCTCCTCAACCATCACTGCCTGCATACTATCCTGCTCTACAAGCCTCCATGCCGCCTGCTCAAAGGCCATACCGGCCAAAGTTGGTGGTTTATTCAATACTAGCGGGTACCCCCTATTTGTACTCCTAATCACCTCCGCATCCTCAGGAATCACTCCCAGAAGAGGCAATCCAAGCATTTCTTGAACATCAAGCACGGACATCATATCCTCCCCTTTGATCATATCCGTCCGAACCCGGTTCACAATCATCTTTATATCCCTAATTCCATCACATTCTAGCAACCCCGTGACTCTGTCAGCATCTCTCAAGCTTGTAATATCTGGCGTGGTAACCAGAACTGCCTCATTGGCTGGGGTTATGGCAGTTATGAACCCAGCGTCAATCCCTGCAGGACAATCAATTAGAATGAAATCTGGCGACCTTTCCTGCCTAGACTTTAAGGCATCCACGAGCCAAACCAGGGCTTTCCCACCAAAACCAATCGGCAGTTTAGACCTGGGTTTCGATATACAGAGCAATTCAAAATTCGACCATCGCTTATCTCTCACAAGAGCTTGGTCAAGCCTGCAATCGCCGTTGAGGACTTCGACAACAGTGTAGTTCACTCGATTCTCGAGACCGAGAAGGAGATCAAGATTCCGAAGCCCAACGTCAGCGTCAATTGCAACGACAGAAAAGTCGAGACGGGCGAGTGAAAGGCCAATGTTGGCAGTAGTGGTGGTCTTGCCGACGCCACCTTTGCCGGAAGTGATGACAACGACACGAGGAGTTT